TGGGGTGAAGTGCTCCTAATATGTTGTGAATTGTTAAAGCAAAGGCTGAGATATAGTAGCTAAGTGTTTACTACAGACATAAAATATTGCAAAGCTTAAACAAAGTCAGGCAAAATATAAACAGGAGTTTGTGTATAAGAATCAAACAAGTTTGTTAAAAAGGAATGTTTGAAAAGAATGCTGATGTCTTCGTAAGTGATGAGACATGATTCATCTAAAAGTCTGCTACTCCAGCCTGACACTCTTCACATTTTGATGTCACCTTAAACGTCCTCGATGTACATGACTGCATGTCACTGAACACTGCTGGTCAGAGTGACCGTTAAATGCAATCTCTCTAACTTTGAGTATCAAAGTGTCAAGTGTCAATGTGTCAAGGTTGTGCCCAGCCTTGACAAAAACCAAAAAAACAAAAAATTCCCCAAACCCCCAAAAAACTAAAAAATAAAACAAAACCCAAACTTACTTCTTTCTTGAAAATTGAAAAATCATAGAATAAAATAGTAACTCAGAAATGCCACATTTGACTGTTGATCACTGAAGATGTTAGCACCTCAATAAAAAATTATAACTGTTCATTGGATGTGCCAAAGGAACATAAAAAATAAAAAGAATGCCCTGTTTCATTTATAAATCACAGTCTTTTCTCACAGTGTTAGACTTGGATCACTTTGATGTAACAGTGCCTATAGGATGATGGGCCATTATTTGCTTTATCATTTGACCTATGGTATCCCACACGGACCAGGTGGAACTACAGGACAAGGACCACAGCAAGCAGACATTGATAAAGTGCTAGTACATTAGAAGTGTGCATTTAACCAGATTGGCTAACATGTACTCCTACTCTCTTTTAAAACCAGCATCTTCTAACAATGTATTCCATTATTTTTCCCCATAAAATCTTCTTTGAGAGTTATGGTATCATGGCATCAGAAAGCTATTTGCCAGATAAAATGCTTTTCTGGCCTGGACACCATGTCTATTTCCATTTTTTGCTTCACTAATGCGTGGGTTTTACTTCAATATGTTTCCATATATTAATTGCCCAGAACACATTATGCATTATAGATTGATGTGTTTCATGACGATATAACTTGAGAAGTCATTTCTGCAGTTCCTGCTAGCAGGAAGCTATTAGGAAGATTACTTTTTTTCCCCCCTCTGTGAACTAGTGAGTTAGGTTGATCTACCTATTAGACAGTCTAAAACTACAGTTTTCGGCCAAATGAGAAAAATAATAGAGAAAACATACAAGTTCCTTTTCTGTCCATCTAACTGATAGATCGTCTTGACACTGACTCCACTTGGTTCTGTTACTGCTCTGGATGACCATTTCTGTACTCATGGTTATTCATTCACTTTTAGCTTCAAAATGTTGAAAAATATAAGGTACTTTTATGGTCTCGTTTAATTATAAAAAGAGTGGTAATATTCACCGATCATGCCAATGAGATTTTATATTCAGCCATAAACTACTTAGTAAAATTTGGTCATGATTACATTCAGCCTTATTTCACAAACAGTGAACTCTAAGTCAAAGCACAAGTCCTGGACTTCTCTGAATCTGGCTGTTGTCCTCAAAGAAACCATGACAATGACCTTGATGATAAGGAAGGAGCCTATGGGAGAAACATTAGAGCCAGAGGTTGATCTGGTCAGTTGTGTGTCCAAGGGTGCTTTGCCTTATTGCTGTGACCAGACTGTGAAATCATACTCAGGGGCATGCTAATGTGATCAGAGGTGTCCCTCCCTGTCCCAAGTCCTGTTATCACTCCATAAAAGACACGGGTACAAGTAAAAAGTCACCCTTTATCAATGGAGATCCCGTGTTCATAGAAACAGTTATAATTACTAACATTGGAATAATTTAAACCCCGTTTGTTTACTTTCATCTATAGAATCCTACAGACACTACAGACTAAATGATATTAATTTTTAAAGAGTGTTTCTAAAGCAGTAAAAGACAATATTTGGCTTTATTATAATTGATATCACTTGGAGTTTATGTGTGTACAACTTTCACATAATCCATCAACACCTCTTTGTCCAAGTGCATCCAGTGAAATGCATAGACCTGATTCTCAACTGTGTCTTAGCTCCCATGGACTGCCAGGCTTTCTATGGATCCAGGTTTAGAACTTGGACCTTAGTTGCTTGAATAAGTGTTTTTTTATTTGTGACTTGGAAGAATTAGGATTAATGGACACTACTAGTCATGAAAGATTAAGTTAAAAACTTCCTTAGAAAGGAAAACTACAGTATCAGAATAAAGGTACATGAGGAATATATACATATATGCCTGTTTCACACAGAAAGCTTTCTGTAAAAAAAATACAAAAGCAAACAGTGCTATATATCATGTAAACTCACAAAGTGTACTTCATCCACAAACATGAAGCATAAATTAAAAAGCAGGACAACAGTGAAACGTTTTAAATATAGATTTTGCACATATTTTTGTTAAATAAGAATAAATAATTTTATCACACAAATTCACATAGCAGTTGCAAAAAACAATAAATTACTTTTTTCAGTGCTGCAACTTTTTTTTTGTCTGTGATTAATCCCTTAATTCTTAGTATAATGGGATAAAACTGTTTCCACAGGAAGGCAAAGTAAGTCAAATTTGTTGAATCATTTACAACAGTGCCCTTAAATCCCTAAACAACAAAGCAGGGCATAAGTTGATCTTTTCTGTTCTAGAAGAAATAAAAGCTACTTTTTCGGGGCTCTCTTTGTATTTAATTAAACTGAATCTGGAGTGGTTAGTTTATGAGGTTAGATTCTTACTAATCTGAGCATTTTCAGACACACTCCTTTTTGGAGGAGGTAGCCCCTAACATCATGAATCCTAGATTTTTTATTCAAGGTACAACTACGGAAACATGAAAGGAATAGTCCAAAATCAAACTGGACTGAATCAGATTGTGTCATAGAGGATTTTTCCTTTGCTTATCATTCTTTATATCGATTTCTCTGAATTTCAGTTTACAGTCTATATCATTTTTCTCAGGAGCTCAGACATACATTCCTTAGTCAATCTATTGATACTCATACAAAAATAAAGAACACCAAAAAAAAAAAAAACCTAAGGAAAATTCTGTAAAAAACATGAAATAGTGGTTTATTCATTATAAGCTCTGTAGGATCACTCCAATGAAAAGAGTAAAAACTTCATTATTTGGGGGAAAATGAATCATTGATAAATCATATTAAAAATCTATGAATCAAGTATAGAGAAGCAGAATAGGAGACAATCATATTTGCTCTTTAATTATCTTTTAATATTGCCTTCAATATAGCCACAAAAGATAAAAATAAAACTCTGTCATATTGGATTATTTGATTAAAATTATTTTGAAAATTGGAAAAAATAACATTGGTCTCTCTAGTATTTCTCTCTGCATAGTCAACCAGTTAGTTGTAATTTTAATTTTTTTCCTAATTTGAATAGCTTTGTCCCCATCCCTGATATCTGATTTACCTCCATCAAGTGTAGGTTACCAGTCTTGTATAGACTTCATTTTGCTACCTGATAATTTATTAAGAAAAAAAATGACCATATCCAAAGCAAAGTCAGCCTATAAAAATCCCAAAGATCATCAGTTTTGTAAAATAATTATTTGTTTTATCAAATAATTAATTAAGAAAATACTTAAAACAGTGAGGCATTCTCCTGGCCCACTGAAATGAAGGTGATATAGCAAGATGAATTACATAACTCTTTTATATTAAAAATATCTTATAATAAAAATAAACTCTCTTGATTTTAAGGGAACTCAAACAATGGTCCCCTAACATTCTTATATGCAAATCTTTACAATAGGCACATTCGGTATGATTATTATACAATTTTATAAAAACAATTGGCTTTGTGATATTTCACAAAGGAAAAGAAATCCCAATGAAACAAAACACCTTAGATTTTCTGAACTATGGGGTGAAGGGATACAGTTTACTGTCTGAAAAGAGATTTTTAGGCATATAATTGCAAAAATTTTCTATGCTTAACTATCGAAACTTACAACCTACTTAGGTTATGGAAATAAAAGCAACAAACTTCTCAAAAATCATCATATATCATTACCCAAGCACTTACTGGTACATCCAAATGCTTTCCAATTGGGAAAAATCTTAAGTGCAGTATCAATATACTTGGATTGTTTTTTAATGCAAGGAGTATTGCCTGTACTGTGTGGAAACAGTCTTATGAATAACTACTTTTTTTGCACTAACCACATTAATGATAATCACTTCTAGATGTGGCTAACTATCAAGTGATCTTTAATCTTTCTATTAAAATAAGTCAACAAGAAGTAGAAAACCTTGTAGGTCGTACAGAACCCCTTAACAAAACAAACAAACAAAAACAAACAAGCGAAAACAAACATTTTAAAGGCTTGCTGGTAAGAGGTATACCAGTATTGAGAGTGTTGAATCACATCGTGTGTACATTACACATCGTGAGATAATCAGAAGAGAGCCACAGAAAGGGAAAGCGATTGTGAGAACATAAATGGAAAATACAGTGAAGTATGTTTTTTTTCCTTTTAAATTCTAACACAAAGAAACTAATTTTTAGACTTTTGAATACCAATAACACACACACACACACATACACACACAAAAACACTAATTCTACAACTTAATTATGCATTAATTTGGCTGGCTGCCTGAAAAAATGCAGGCTGTCAAATGTTATAGACCCGTGTATGTGTTTAAATGACTAGATACACTGAGATCCTTTTCAAAATTTCTCAGAAGATGCTTGCTGTCAAAATGGTTTTTGACTAAAATTTTATCTCCTGTTATCTGAAAGTATACTAAATCTTATTAAAACAGCAGCAAGGTCTTAATTTCCAGTAAAATATCCACAGCTCTTTCCAGAAACTGGAAGGAGTTGAAATAGCTGCAGACCTACTTTGGTCAAACACTTTTTTTATAGAAATATATATATATATACACACATATATATATATATATATACACATACATACATATATATTTTTAATAGAACCAAGTGATATAAAGTGACACATCAAGGGAGAATGTATTTACAAACAGTAAAAAGAAGCTACTGTGTGTTGTGGGTGAAAATGATTACAATGTCTTTGAAGACATTTTGTAAGAGGTAGGTGACAAGGGGAGACTGTTGTTCTGTCATTGTCATATGTCGCCTGATTCTACATTCATCAGTGTTTTTCATTCCCAGAGCCCCAGAGGATGTTTGCAAACTCCCAAGTTCTTCTATATTCCAGGGTCACCACTGTCACATGAAATAGTGCACATCTTCTTTTGGTCGCGGAGAGCAGATTCTGCCCATAATTGGACTCATATTGACAATGACACTGAAGTGTGACTTTCTGTGCTTTAGGTGGAGTGATCAATCATCCAGTTATCTCTGCCTCAGAGCATAACCACAGGCTAACATTTCTTTAGCAAACATTGCTTAAATGCGGAAGGCCTCTGAGAGAGAAGACATCCCTTGGCTAACTTCCGGTTTCCGTCCTGGCACTGCACCGTCCGAGTGTGCCAGCCTGTGTCACAGGACCTAGAACAGGCAAGCCACGGGCCTGTCACCCACTGCAGCTGTGAGGTGTGCGATCCGACTTTATTGCTGCCATGGCTAGTGACAGAGTTTACTTTCTGAGTGGACTTCTTGGGAACAAAGAAACTGTAACGGACATCTAGCGCTTTAGTTGGATCTGTTGCGAGCACCTGCACTATTAGAATTTCCTTTGTGGCGGCATAGCCCATCCCATGCAGGAAGTCATCTCTGTGGCTCCAGCCACTGTAGTTCATCACTGTTCCATTGATGTCAATGATTGTTTCCGAAGTGGAGATCATGTACTTTCCATTGATAAGGTACTCACCGTTTTTCTTCTTCAAGGCTAAGTAGGCGGTGAATCTAGTCTGGTCTTTGGCTTTGAACTGTCGGACTTTTATGTGGGTTGCCCCTTCGGGGATCCTCACAACGTCAGTGTAACCCTTACTGGGAGCAGGAATGTCCATGGGGTAGAAGCGGGGAGAGAGAGAAAGAGGAGAAAAGAGAGACAAAACTAAGTCAACACTTAATAAATGGATAAGCCATGAGAAATTTTCTAAGAGTCTTACCTGATTGTAACACCAAGTTTCAGTGTATTTAAGAGATGAGCTTAAAATTCATTTTAAAAATTAATTTTTTAAAAAAATAAAATTGCAGTTAAACTAGCATATTATATACATTTTTATTATGATGTTCAAAATTAGGATAATGATAGCAGCCCGCCTCTGTTTTAAAAAAATTTCTATTGACTTCATTTAAAGACTTACAAAACATTACTCTTATTAAATCCTACCATCTTTACAAAGCTATCAATGTTCATCTGGCACAAACTAGGATAAACATAAACACAAACTAACACAGATCTGCCCTCAACCTCATAGAAATCTTTACATTCATGTTTCTCAAACCTGCTTGCATATCAGCATCACCTAGGGACCTTAAAAAATTTTTAATCCCCAGACTGCAGACCAGTTAAATCCCTGGCTTTCAGGACAGGGCACACACAGCGGTGATCCTGGAGCTCCTCACATTGTTCCAAACATGCAGACTAAGTGGGGAGCCACAGACTTACTTAGTCTGGTGAACAAGAGAAAGAGGCTCTGCTTCCATTTCTACTAGAACTCTGGATGTCCTGGGCAGGACACAAAATGGAACATAAAATTCTGTAACTGGGTAACCAGCACCTACCAGTATCATGAAAAGAAAAAAAAAAAAAGAATCTTTAATGCCTTAGCAAATTTTCCCAAATGCTTAGTGTCTGTGAAGCATCATGATAGGTTGAATGAGGCTTTTTTTTGGTGAGTGACAAGTAAGATAGGTCTCTAGCCAAAGAACTTACATGCATGACCCATGGACTGGAACCATGGCGGGAGGATGGCTAGGGGGTGCTGGGTGGAGGGGGGCAAAGGAAGGAAAATCAGGACAACTGTAATAGCATAGTCAACAAAATATATTTAAAAAATAAAGATCCATCATGGGCTCAGGACAATGGGCAAAGGCATAAATATCTCTAATATCCATAAGCTTGTGGCACATGCTAAGAAAGAAAAGGTAAGTAAGACTATACCAGAGAGAAGTAGTCATCTATTGCCAAAATATTTGCCTCTATTCAGTAATTTCATAGTCAAGTCTCCTTTTGGTTTACTTTCCTAGTTATTTAAATAGAAATAAATAAATTGCTTGTGCAGTTTGACTGATGTATGTAAAATTTAATTACTTTCAAATTCATACTCAAGTTTGGAGGTTTGGGACAACTGATTCATACACTCAGAGTCCGCCTGTGTTTCCCCGACCCAAGCATTTTCCCTGTTTGTGTTTAATTGGAGAGAAGGCTTCTCCCCGGGGTAGCCCCCGTCTGTTGGGTATCTGGTCTATACTGATTGCCAGACAGGCGTTGGAGCTTCCTACTGTGTTGAAGTCAGAAGATGCAGCATTGCAGTGCTGCTTATCCATTCAACTTGACCTGTTATTTTCCGTTTTTCTTACTGTTGTAATACACTTTCGATTACACTTCATTACAAGACTTTCTTTTGAAGTATCTAATATCAAGAGATGATATGCAATCCTACAATGGCTTCAAACAAAACTAGGAGGGAGGTTGGAGATGATATCTTATCTTACATAAAAAAGCACACATGATGGGGATTTGGGAAAACATTTGAAGAAGTTCAATCCAGCACTAATTAACGGTAGTGCTGGGCTTAGAAACCAGGCTTCCTGACTCCAAATTTGTGCTCCTTCCACCAGAGTGCCATGCATATAACCCTTACCTCTGCCATTTATAACTAAATGAAAATAAGTTCCGGTTATATTTAGAGTGAAATGATACCAAACAGGTGATGTAAAGAAGATAAAGGAGGAAGGGGAATGGAATCAAGTAGGAGAGGGTGTTTTTGTTTGTTTGGTTTTTTAATCTATTCTTTACAGCCTGTATCATATTCATGAGAATCACTGGGGACTGTCAGCAATGCAACAGGACTTCAAACTAAGGTCACAAGACAAGTATAAGAATTAGTGCCTTGATCTCTTAGTGCCTAGGAAAATACAGTTATCAGTGTACTCATTCATTGTCTTTACACTGTGCTGGGCAGCACTGAAGCTCTGGACATGGAGCAGCTTCCCTGGCTACTGTGAATAAGTTCAGTGGTTTTCATGTAACTATTAGGGAGCAGGACTGGCGGGACGAGGGACTCCTGTTTGGTTCAGGGCTCTGTCCACAGCACCGAGGTCGGTGCCTGCCGTGGGGGAACACAATCACTCCTGCATACTAAGCATGATGTCCTTCCAGTGGGAGGCAGTCAGGTCCCTGGCTGAAATAAGGGACCATATCTATTGATAAGAGCTGTGGAGACACACGGAGAAGCATAAGCAGATAGAGAGTAATGACAGGGATGGAGGTTTTCAGTTAGGGTAGCCACCACCTGGAAAGGTAACATTTGATAGTCATCTGAAGGGCTTCCAGAAGCAGCGTGGCTTATTCACTGGACTGGGGAAATGGGTTCCAGATGGAGGACATAGTGCACACGCATTGGGATGGCAGGATTAAGAAGCTTCGAGAAGTCCAGGGTGGGTGGAGCAGAGCCAGAGAAGGGGGTGGTACAGAACAGGGCAGGGGCCAGAGCTGTTAGCCCCTTGGAGGTTACAAAACAGTGAGATGGCGGGGGGCTCTTGAGCCAAGGGATATCCTGGTCTCTGACAGGTAATGAATGATGGCTCTCCCTGCTCTGTGAAGAAGAGGCCTGGAGGCTTCTGGGAGGACGGCTGGGTTGGTCCAGGAGAGAAGAGGGTATGATCCCAGGATTGGGACTGAGGTGATCTTGGTGGCGGTAAGGGGCAACCACATTCTGAATATATGCTGGCAATCAGACTGCCAGGACAGGCTGATGGAGAAATGTGTGCGGGAAAATGAGGAGTAAAAGATGACTTTAAACTTTTGGACTTACGCAGGGGAAGGATTGGATTCACATTTGCTGGCATGAGGAAAATTGAGAGAAGAGTGAATTAAGAGTAGGGTCTTATTTCTGAAGAAGTTTGAACCTGATGAAATATTTTGATATGCATCACCTCACTTGATTCTGAAAGCAATATTTAAGTTAAAGATTAATTAGTGTCATTGTTGTTCTACTGTCAAGAATTCTGATAGTACAGAAATTAAGTGACCAAGAGTCTCATGGCTGGTGAATTACCGAGCCAGAGCTTGCCTGCAAATATTCCTTTCAATAAACCACAGTAAGCTAAGGTAGTTTATTCAGGGTACTGAAACAGGCCATTTGTATCACATAATATAATGCTGGTCAAATCAATCTGTAAGTGGCGAGGTGGCATGCCGCTTGCTGACACCAAGAACCTCATCTTTTTGTGTGATGTCAAATATTCAGATACTGGTTGTCAAAACAAAAAAACTTAAAATGCTTAACTTAGCCTTCAAAAGTACTTTATAAGTTTATGTATGAAGAATATATAACATATAGGACATAGGTATTATTTTGTAAAAATAATTTTACTCATTTGGTTCCTGAATCTCCCTCCCTCCTTCCATCCTTTCCTTCCTTCCTCCCTTCCTTCCTCCCTCCCTCCCTTCCTTCCTTCCTTCCTTCCTTCCTTCCTTCCTTCCTTCCTTCCTTCCTTCCTTCCTTTTTTCTTTCTTTTTAAAAAATGACCTGTGCATCCTATGACCTAAGTTATAGCCTCCACTCTGTCATTCACCAACCATGTAAGATTGGGTAAATCCTAAATTTTCAGAGACCCAGTTCCCTCATTTGTAAAACAAGTTATACTTGGTTATTTTTAAGGTGCCTTGCACCTTTGAAATACATAAAAATTCAGGATATAATGGGACTGGCAGGGTTGGGGTTTTTTTTTTTTTTTTACCTAGATGGCCAGACACAATTAGATGAATAATTATTTTATCACTAGCACATATGTTTAGCTATGTATATTTTAATTCAGAATAAATTCTACAACCATACACATTTTCATGTCAAAGGTAATTTTTACATTGACATGGCATGCAAGTTTTCACATAAATCCATGTCATTGATTTGGTTTGTCTACGACTCTCCAGTTAAAGACCGATAGCACATCCATCAAGACAACAGGTAAGCTTTACCAATAACACTCAGCACGCAAGGGATCTGGTAAAGAAGAACAGTCCTGCGTCCAGCAGGCTCTTTAGCTGACTCAGCCACCCTAGCTGAGAGCATAATGTTTTATGCAAGAAATGGGTACTTTGAAAACTTACATGTTTAAAGCAAGAGTGTAACCAAGGACCAGGAGAAGCGGCAGGAAAGACATTACTCTTTATAGAGGAGATTTAAACCAGGATAGTTAAAATGGGACTGTTGTCTATACTACAGCAATTAACTTAGTTTTCAATGAGAAATGTTTTCTCTAGAAAAATACAGCCCAATGAGAATTTGTTTGCAAGAAGAAAAAAAAAAAAGTTCATAATGTGGAAACCAGCCATCCTTTCCAAGTTCTGTTTCAGGAATGATGGACCTGCATGACAGGGCTCCACTGCATGTCTCCGCCTTTTTTTTTTTTTCAGTTTTCATACTGCAAGACCGTGACCTCAAGGCCGCCGCAGCCCGCCTGCTTCCAGCGGCGCCGTGAGTTCCCACACTCAGCAACCAGAGCTTTTTTCATCTCCTCTCTTTTCCTTCTCAGAGTCAAAATGCACGGAAAGAGCCCTGCCAGCCCTCCTCTCACGGACAGCTTGTGGTGTAACACGAGTCCTCCTGTATCGATTTTGCAGGAGTTCAAAGCTTCGTTCAGTTTGCATACGGGCAATTGTCCTATCACATTACCTTTTTTTATTGAAGGTTCCAACAATCTTTGTGCAACTGGAGTTGTCTCCTCCACACACTCCACACTTGTCATATTGCAGCTTTGAGCCGATGATGCCATCGCAGCCAGTTCGCACACACTTCCCCCGGACGCAGACGGAACTGCTGTACGGCCTGCATTCCGTTCCATCGGTCACCTGAATACGGGAAACACGTTAGCCGTGCACAGTACTTGTGCCCAGGCACTTGGTCTCTTTGGTAAAAGAGCACATTCTAATTTATGAGTTTTGGGTTTGATTGGAATAGAGAGTACATTGAGAAATAAATGAAGAACTAAAAACTATAGTTTTTAGGAGTATCTAACTGAAAAATCCTTTACACATTGGCAGAAGACGACCTGGGACCAATCTTGGTTATGCACTTTCTCTTGAGCTTAACTCTCAATGTGCGGGGACACCCAAGATATTCCAGTCGACTCCTCCACACACGTTCCCATTGCACAGTGTTGCCTTATAACATTGAGAGAAGCAATGCTTTCGCTTAGCCTGTGGGGTTGTCTGTTCCATGTGCCAAGACCAGAATACGAGCAGGTGCAAGATCACGGGAGATCTTTCTTTGTTGCATAGTTGCATAGAAATGTATTTGAAAATCTAAACCTGACATTAAAAACAGCATATTGATTGGAAAGCACTCCCAGTTGTGTCAAACTGGCAGATGCTGAAATCGAGACAAACAAATTCGTGTAGGAAAAGGGGTCCGGGGAAGTCAGAGAGAACTACTTACCGTAAGAGAGCGAATATATTTGAAAAAAAGAATTAACATATATTTATAAAGCTGGTTATAAAACAGGATGTATATGGACTACCTGTGGTTTGTGCATGTCACTGTATATAAATAACATGCCATGTACAACTAGATATATTTTGTATTTGCATATATATGAAATTCTTCATGTGTGTGTGTGTATGTGAGTGTGTATAGAGGTAGGATATATTTCAACAGGTTAACAGCTCTCTAGACAGTTATATTTCCAGGTGATGTTTTTGTTTTTATTCCTCTGAATTATTTTTTAAAATGGAAATGTGTTGTTTTGCAATAAAAAGATCAAGTATTTTGTGAGTCGCATTAGTTGGACATGAAGTTATTTTTCAACAATATGTCAGAAATAACTGAAGGCCAGTTACAGAGTTGGTTTTAAGGGAAGCATCCATTGTGAAGGTTGTTACAAAACAGTCATGGGGCCGGCAAGTCCAGCACAGGGAATACAGTCAGTAAGATTGTAATAACTATGTACGGTGCCAGGTGGGCACTAAAATATCAGGGGAAACACTTTGTAAAGTATACGATTGTCTAACCACCATGCTGTACATCTGAGACTAATACAAAATAACATTGAATGTCAACTGTAATTGGAAAAATAAATACATAAATAAATAATAAATGTAGCACTTGTTTGCAAATTAGATAAACAGTATTAGATAAATTGCTGTGTAATATTGATTGTAAGAAGGAAAGCTGAAGTAATTTAGAAAATGTTCCTTTATGAAAAATAAGAGATCATTTTACATGCATATATTATGTGTACAACTAGAGGGGCATTGATTTATACTGAGGGTGCAAGACATTTAAAAGCCTAAGGCAGAGTCAATGATCTTGAAATCTATCTTCATGAGTCACTAGCAAAATTCTTAAGTAAATGATGTAAAAAAAACTTTCTTGCTCTTTAGTCCCCTTTACAAATGTGCCTTGGAAATACCAGTTGTTTGCAGGGCTATTTTGAAGTTAAGGTCACCTCTCACCTGACTTGACAAAGTTACACTTCTCAAAAATAGCTTTTAAAACATTTACTTGTTCTGTTTACAAAAAAAAAATTATTCATTGTATAAAGTTGGAAAATATAGAAATTATAGAGATGAAAATAAAACCTTTCAAAATATAGCCACCCAAAAAGTAATGATTGTTTACACTGGTATCTGTAGGCTTCCTTCTACCAAGTAATTTCCACCGAGGACGCCTACTGTGGCTGGGCAGACCGTGTGCAGTTAGTTACCTTTGGAGAAAACACCACGTAGTAGGCGGTGCCCTTAGCTCTGCAGGTCAGTTTGCACACGTCCCCTGGGAGGACGCCGGTATATTTGGGAACCCATTCCACGAATGTTTTGACTCCTTTTGCATCAGACTGATATCCATTTTTGGCCTCACACTGCTCATGACGAAAAGATTTACCTAAAAAAACAAACATGTCACGTTACTGGTCTGCTGTTCTGAAACTTATATATATTCTTGTGCATTTAAATAATTTTAAGATGCTAAGTTTTTTCTTTTAGAGCGTCTTTGTGCACCAGTGTTGAAGAATTTTTATTCATCCACAGAGTTGAAAACATCAATTATTTCCTTCCTACTCCCTGAGTACTCAATTGCTTATAATAACTTAAAAATCACTCATGTCTATGTTATTGATTTTCACACTGGCAGAACTATGCAGTACAAGATTAGTAGTCTATTTCTATAACCTGCCTTATTCATTACAGTCGAAATAGACAGTGCATGTGACGCATGGCGTTTGCTGACACTTGGGAGCAGCGTACCATTAGTGGGGCAGGGCAGAACGCTGCAGGAACGGTAGATGGCCCTCTTTCCCGTGCAGTAGCGGCCACTGTTTCTGGGTGCTGGGTTATTGCAGTGGCGATATGCAAATTGTACTCCTCCTCCACATGAGCGAGAACACTGGCCCCAGGACCCCCAGGACCCCCAGTTGCCGTGGCTTGATGTCTGAAATGGAAAAATAGAGGACAATTTTAACTCAGAAAGGAGGAAAGCACACAAAATGTACATTTGGAAATCAAATCAAAGACAATGGAAACTTCATTGCAGAGTAAAATTTTCAGTGAATTTAGCCTGGTCAGAAGTATTGCATATTCTGGAATTACAATGTGTTTCTGATTCTAAGCAATTGACCTTTTCTGCTTCCCCTCTCCCCTGCACTAGAGGTTCTGAATGCTTCACTCTTAAGTACTCAGTACACTGCCAGAATTGCCTCCTGGTTTCTCTGGGCCATTTTAACTTAGGCTTTCTGATAGTGCACATTTCTGTTAACCACCACCAAACCCTGGCTAACTTTGTGTCCACTCTGATCTTGCACCTTTAACAAAATGTATGATGCTGAAGGTTTTGCATGACACCAGGCATTAGTTCATTGTACTTGTGTCATTTGTCCCACTTGAGCCTGAAAGTTCTGCAGTGCCTTTGTTGACATCACCCATCCTGTCTCACACATCCTGTGAGAGCCCTGCTACCACATGCATACACAAATTTGACCTGGGGTTGGTTTAATTTCTAATTAGATTAGAGCCTCAGCCGCTAGAGAGAAAACGTGACAGATATTGAGGTGCACCCACACCACACGCACACACTCCAGAGGAAACGAAGAGCCCTGTTTTTGACACCCCAGGCCTATTACTCTGCAAACATTGCAGCAGGCAGCTGAGACTCCAAGAGCGAGAATATTATGAACTGCTTTGCCAAGGTAATGTGTGAAGAACATTCGTGGGCTGCCTGTGTCAGGGTATCTGAGAAGGTAACAGCCTTTGAAGATACAGGCAATATGCATATGGCAATACCTTTCTAAGGACTTTGAAAATCTTGTGAGTAAAACTAAACAGAAGCTTTGTTTGGGACTTTAAAAGTAAGACGGCAGCTGCAGACAGGGACGTGGAGTGTATGAGGAGGGTGGAGATGTTTCCCTGGGGCAGGCGTTAAGTTCCTTAGCTCCTAGGGTTAGACTGACTTGCTAGGGGGAGAAACATGACCATTTTGGAGCCCTCCGAGCATATATGAGAACCATGTGTCGACTCTACTGCTGTTTCCTTAATGAATTCAAACAATGTATTCTGATAACTTTGGTAAGACAAGCTTGAAAGAAAACTTCCAAAAAGTGGGCCCTATGTGGGGTCTCAAGTAGATAGAATCTGGGAAGAGTTCCTACGGTCTGCATTTCCTCAGTGTTTTGATGACTAGAAATGGCTCCTGTGGTTAAAGGAGGAAACAGTAAATAGATCTCTCAGGAAAAAAATATTTGAACTAGGAAGCAAAGCCTTCTGGTGACCGTCTCCTTGTGTTCCATGTGGTATGTACTTCAGATCTCGGGTCTCCAGGCAGGAAAATCACTTACTGAATAGTATTTTTTCTTGGTTTTGTCCACGCACTTCCCCTGCAGGCAAATCCTCCCTTTCCCACATGGCGTCCCCTCCACGGCTGGCAGCTTCTTGGTCAGGCACACCATCTGGCCCTGGCGCACCACGGCGCACCACAGGCGGGCACAGACGTCCATGCCAGGACACACGGAGTACTCGGGTCCGAAGGTCAGGTTGCACTGCTGGGTGGCATCGTAGGTCTGTCCTGGGAGTTCCTCAGGGCCCAGGATCTGCTTGCGAGGCAGGTCTAGCAAACAGTTACCTGAAAGAAGAGCCAAGATTGACGACTGTTCCATGTTTAGCTTGCAAACCACTAAAATCATGGATCTGAAAATGAAGCACTCCAGCAGGCGCTGAAGCATGATGCGCCCGCAGATCTGCAGTGCGATGCCCCGGAGAGGGGCTTCCGGGGCCGGGGAGGGGTGAGGCGGAGCGCCTCTGTGAGCTCGCCCGAGCCGCCAAGACTTTCGGAGAGTTAACGTATTAGCCTGGGGTATCTGTAATGATGGCAGTGGTATGACTGAAGGAAAGAATTCGGTAATAATTAGTTGTGAAAACAGACATTGTGCTGAGGGACTAAAAGAAATTGGGACAGACTTAGAGGAAGTAAAGTAATGGACATAACAATATATAAGCATTTACAACACTGAGAAACTGTTTGTCCTTGGTGCTCTATTTTTACCTCATTTTCCACTTCCCACTCACCCTCATTCACTCTTGCACTCACTGAAAACAATGATAGTCGGTGTAATGCCCACACATTTGGTTAGTGCCTACAATGTGCTAGCAAACATACTCGATGTTGGGGAAACAAAAAAGTTACCCAAATCCTACCCTCAAGGTCTCCTAATAAAGTGAAAGAAATAGACTAAATATTTTTTGCCAGAGTGATAGGAATCGTAATAGAGAGCTTTCAAGAGTCATAGAATAAAGGAGGAGTGGGAGAAGAGGATCTTTGATGATTTGGGCTGAGACCCATCTTTTTACTCTCCTCCTCCTTTTTCTCCCCTTTGTGTCAGCTTTTTAATGTAATTAGTATCAGTTGGGTGTTTGGAGTGTGACTGTGCCCAACTAGCTGGTGTCCTCATTGCTGAGAAATATGGGGAGTATACAGTGAGCTGGGGATCAATGATAGCCTGCACTTCACATAAATGATGCAATTTCAGAAGCCAAGACGTGCCTCACCTCCCTGCAAAAAGCTTCCCAAAGAAAACCTGCCCAGCGAGTTAGTATCCTTCATTTTCTCCCTTCACAGGGGAGCGTGCACAGTGCCCAACATGCTCCGTATTTCCTTGATTTTAAGATTTACCTGCTGATTATTAAGAGTACTAAAAACAACAACTATTTCTTACACACTTAGACTATTCTCAGTTATTTAAATGTATGAGTTTATTTAATCCTCATGAGAACTCTGCCAAGCAGATTCTATTGTTCCTTTATTTTACATTGAAAGAAACTGAGGCACATAAAGATGGATCACTTATCTAAGGTCATGTAGCAATTAGAGTTTTATGCTCAGAGCCCACCCTGCTCATCATTTACCATCTTTACCTCTGCTTAGCACGGGGATGGATTTTTTGTTTTATTGCTGAAGAGCAAGCATGTGCAGGGATCCTTTAAATGGTGGGTGTCATGCCTGATCGTAGAAACACCCAGTCTAGTGTCTAATTCTGGCAAAACACTAAAGGGTTCAGTGTTCTTGGCCAAGTTAGTTAACCTCTCCCTAATTTTCCAAGCTCTGTGAGATGTTTCTCCTTTCACTGTGATATTGTAAAGGTAAAATTATCTAAGGAAGATATAAGAGGCCACCAGAAAAATACAAAACAATGCCCAGCACATTTAACCACCATTTAAATGTATTTGTTATTCTTTTTATTCAACAAAAGAAAATCATATTTAAATCCTACTTTCCACCAAGAAATGAACTATTCAGCACATTTTAAATATACGGCAAATGTTTTTACAAGTACTACATTCAACATTCTTCAAAGTTAATACGTTAGAGTTTGTCAATCTGTGATGGAGGCATTATATGAAAATGAATAAAGAGCAAAGTTCCTATTTAACTTCTGAGCCAGAACGTTTGAAGAGGTAAAGCTTCTTAAGGCAAGCCAGAAAAAGCATTAAAAATAAGAGCCCGGCCAAAGAGAACTTTGGGAGAAAAACATCAAGTTAAAAGAAAAACATCGATGTCAAGTCAATAGGAAAGAATGATAGTAAAACCTCCGTCAGCTTTGTTTAGAAGACAGGGTAAGACTGGGCGCTGCAGACTCCAGGGAAAGTGTTATCTCCCTACATGAAAAAGAGCATTGTGTAAAATACACCAGGGCACGCTCAGCAGATTGCTGGTGTCAGAAGACTGTCATCGAATCTCCGAGACAGCAAGAATGCTTTCCAAGTCTTCAAAAGTACTGTTTTAAAAAACTTTTTTCACTTCACTAAAAAGCACAGACCATAAGACTGGGTGGCTTACTATTAGCTAAGAAGTCTTTCTGTGTGTGGGTGCACGTGGCATGGGTCTACCTGGTACACCTCCAGCCACAATAACTCACCACCTATTTATGGACATGTAGTCACTGACATCCTTTCTCCCTCACTAGCGGATGAGGAGTGAAAAGGAACGGATAATGCAAACGATTTGGAATCAGCTTATGAAAAGGCGAGTTTAAGAGGTGGCATCTCTGTATGAAACTTAATACTAAAGTATGAGTTTTAAAAATGAATAACACATTTGCCTTGCTACTAAAAGTTCCTATCTCAGCTGCATGGCTCTCCCAGAGAGGTCACCTGGAGATGACCTTTCCTTGCTTAAAATGATTCATTTCAGAATTGCCATTAATATATCACTCCAATGTTCTCAACAGTAAGATTTGTTGCTGCCTTAGTTTCTTTTTTACTCTGAAATATACACTCTGTCAATTTCATCTATATGAAATTATATCCTATTTATGTCCCGATTATGTCCTTTTGCTATAAAATAGGTACAGGCGTCTCTACCAAATGGCAGACTTGTGCCATGGAGCAATAAAAAAAAAATCAATAAAAAGCCTTATTCTGAATCTTGCAGTAGAAAATATTTAAAAATCTCAGTAATAGTAGATTGGATATAGATTTTTAAAAATTTTTAAAAACTGTACATTTTTGGAGAGGGGTGAAAGAGGAAATTGATCAATCTTTTAGTACTATTCACATCGACCTCTAAAAGCATTCAGTCTACTGCTGACTTTTTTTGCTCTGTTTTATTTTTATTCTCAGCTACTTCTTTACATCTACTTCATGTGTTTTTTTAATTCACCCTCATCTGAAATCCTGTCTGGGCTTTGCTGCCAACATTTGTCTGTTTGCTGTGCTCCACAAAGAGCCAAATTGCTTGTTCCTTTCTCTCTCCTTTCTCGCCCTCCCTCCTTTCTCCCTTCCTTTGGCTTTAACATTTGGTGTATATAAATGGATAGCCTCTAAAAGAAAGACGATAGAAATGTGTGCATATTGTACATTTGTTTGTACTGCCCGTGTTAAGTTAAATGCCACAAGTAAGGTAAAAATTAAAAAGTAAAGTGCAGTGATTTGGGACGGACAATTAATGAAAGAACGGTCTGCCCCCGCCTCAGGGGGCACTAGGAATGCCGGGGGGCATGCCAGGCCTCCAAGAAGTGCAACAGAAAAAATATTCGGCTTTTTAAAAAAGATATATCTGACTTCCGCTACTGTTCCTCTTTCATATTAATGATTAATGGAAATTAATGAAGCTTGGTTGCTCTTTATTCTTTTCATTTTACCTTCCCGACACTGTAGTTATTCTGTTTCCCTTTCCATTATAGAGGTGTGAAATTAAGCGTTGGCCCCAATATCCACGGCTTAGGAGAAATCAATTAATATTCCTAGTGAAACTCATTCAAAGGAGTCTAACAACGCTGCTATCTGCCACCCCACTCCCCTACCCTGGCCCCCACCTTTACTTCCTACCATCATCTCCCTGGCCCTGCCACTCTTCTTTTAGTCTTTATTTAAATGTTTGACATTAAAAAAGAAACGATGCCCAGTGACAGATGAACTACTGAGGGCACCGAGGAAGCACAGACAATTGTTGCTGACCAACAGTAATTCAAAGGCCTGTTTGTGAAACTGTTAGAAGCTTTGGAAACACTCTTTAGCAGATGCAATGCCAGTGAAATTAGATGAAAAGTTCTGCATGTAAAAGGATGAAGCCTAGCTTTTTAACCATGTAAGTCACCACGGACTTAAGATATATATTTATTTGCAGAGTCTAGTAAAGAACACATTTATGGTGAAAATCAAGATACTAGCATAATGGGCTTTGAATTGATGAGGACTACCTTAAAAACTGAATGTTAAGTCTACTAGATTTAGTGGGGTGATCACATATTAAGGCATGTGAATGCCAAATAATTATCTTTTATACCTTAAAATACCATCATATTGTATACCAACTATACTTAAATTTTTAAAAAAACCCTAAAATTTTAAATAATTTATAGGCTATTAGTGCAGATGCACTAGATATTAAATATATAATAAGGATGTTATAAATAACTTTATGCCAATACATTTTGAGCAAGATGAAAATAAACTGAATGTTAAGATCATATTACTAGCCCTATAGTCTCTACTTATTCAGGATTTCGAGAATTGATTTTCTAATACCATGTTATCTCCAAGGTTCTGCATTCAGTAAGTGGCTACACACTGAGACCTTTAAATATGCTCCAAGTTAATTTTTCAAAGCTGTGTGTAGATTTTCCTTAGCTGCCTGTGTCATGGGTGTACTTGAACTCTACTTACCTAGGTGATAGCCTTCTCATCACCTGGTACTGCAACTTTGGGCTGCAGCAGGGGCACAATTATCATTTTTTTCTTCAAGGTTATTGAGCGTTTAACAAAGGAAATTCAATAACTTGCTTTCTCTGCACAATTTCTCCGCCAATGATTCTCTTTATTTTTGAGGATCATACTCCTGGCCAGCTTTGCCTGGAACTAACTTGTATAAACACTGCAGAATGTCTGCAAGTATCTTGGCCAGGCTGGCAGGGGCTGGGGGTCCCCATGAGACATGGCTTCTCTTTTTCTGAATCACAAATCTGCAGGCACAGTTATTTTAATGTGTGCCCACTAACTTTTCAACCATAACCTAATTGCTACATATTTCTTGTTGGAACTAAATCAGGGAACACTCAGTATTAATGAATTTAAATTTGGCAGTGGTTGAGTGCTATAAATGTCCACCTACTTATGGCTAATAATTTTAAAAACAAATCAAATGATTTGAGTTTAATTATACTCTAAGACGCTATTTCTCCAGCATTGCTGGAGGTGGGAGGGAGATGGATGAACTATTTTTCACCCATAAATAGATTTGTCCAAAAATAGATGTTTCCAGATAATGAATTCTTTAGTTAACATCTACCAATTGGATAAATTTTATGAGGGTATCTGTTTAAAAACAGCAATTTCTTGGCTGCCTTTATATTGTTGTCATGATTTAATCTTCCTAAATAAAAGAAAATCTCTGTTATCCACGTATTAATTTTTGGATCATTCTGAAATACAGAGGTACCTTCATGGATCACGCTGGTGGGATTGGGTCTTTGACCTTTTGGAAAATGGTGCCAGACCTCTAAGCATTGAATGTTTTAAGGTTAATCTTATAGCTTTTCTGGTTTCCCTCTTATTGTCAAATGATGTAATTTCTTGCCCCCAGTTTACTTGTCTGAAGTGCACCCCACCCCTACCATGATTATATAATTTCTTAAAATTGTTGGTGGCCTAGAAAATTAGAACAAAAAAGAAAAAGTAGATTATTTCTGCTAAATATGAATAAGTGGGCTCTGGATGGAAGCCTGAGTGGTTCCTTGTGAGTAAAGTGAAAGGGTGTTATGCTATGTTTTCAGGATTTCGTTCAGCTTTCTGACAAAGATGCATGTAGCTTTTTTTTCCTTCTTTTTCCTGCTTTGCCGTTGTTTAGGACTTTGACTTTCTTCTTGGTTCTTTCCAAAGCTCTGGAGTGAAAACGTCAGAACCTCAACATCTGGACATTGCATTTACTAGTTCCTACTGCCACACTGTCACTTAAGTCAGTTTTTCTGGTTGTAATTTAAAAGTTATTATATTACTTGAATTCACATTAAACGATAGCACTACAAAGAGCTCTGCTGTGCATGCTATTTTTAAATGAACATAATTGAGCCTTCCCATTGTATCATAGGACCTTTCTTTGGTTTTCCTTATTCTAAAATTATGTCATTCATTCTATGCTACTGATGAAGGTATTTTGTTGTTGTTGTTAAAACACAAGACTGCCTAACCAATATATTCAAAAGTGAGAGTCTAGGTTTGATGAAATGAATTAATACATCAACTAAGAGAATTTGTTGTTCAAAGAATTTAGGTAATTGAATTTATTTATTTAATATACACATGAGAAATTCAGATAAGATTTTATCACTGCAAGTGAGTTAGATCTATTTCTACTAAAAGTATGTTATTGGTTGTTATAGACCATGCACTCCTTTGGAATAAACTCAGAGAGATATGTAAAATATGGAAATTTGTTGCAAAAATTTAACAAATCTGAGCATGGGCTCTTTTAAATACAGATATAATGTTAAAAAATAAAGGCAATACGAAGCATATATACTGCACAGAAAGTAAGATCATGGATTCCACAAATATGAAATAAATGAATCATTCCAAAATTATGGCAATACGAAACAAAATCTGCACAGCGTTGTAATTAACTGACCTAATACTTGAACAGGAAGACAGTTTGGTCCCCTTTTAGCCATAAGTATTTGCTGCCTTAGCAACGAAATCCATTCATTTAGTGATTCAAAGTTTAACTCAACCTTTTGGAATGTGTAACGTGTGATGCTGAAATAAAATATTAATGTGATTTCATTTTCAGAAAGCCTGAGGAAAAAACCCAGCAAAGCAATATTAAGAGTGGAGAGTAAGGTTCCATCCAAGAGGTACTTCATTAGATATTGACTTGATCAAATTGATCATATAGACTGGCAGATAATTAAGTAAACATTGCTTTTGGGAATTTATCATTTAATCAACATTGTAAACTGAGCTAAACAGAAAGCTACCACTTTACTAGTAGTCTAAAGGAAAGGCCTTGTTCATTGATTCTTGGTGTTGTTTCTAAATCTAAGATATTGAGGTGTCTTTTCAATTAACAAAGAACATGATTTTGTATTGAGGAAAATTTTAAAGTAAGCTGGGCATGGATTATATTTAGGAATAGGAAATTTTAAAAGTCTCAGGTGGAAAAAGCATTGCCACTAATGGAGCAAAAAGTGAGCTACTGAACAGATTTTGCCTGCAAGATACCAAAGAACTATGTGGCTGAATTTCTTTTTGTCTGAGATGAATTACATTTTCAGTCGTTTTGACATGATGAAGCCCTAAATTTTGTGGTACTAGGGAAAAACAGTTATCACAGATTCTCTTTACCCAACTTTGAATCATACATCATGAGTTAAATTTAGGGACAATTATTATGCTCAAGATTTTCTGTCATATTCAATTCAATCACCAGTTTTACAAAGACACAAACTTTAAGAGAAGTAAAAAGAAACGAGATGAGAATATGCCCATTTCTGTGGAATGAGAACCTTGAAGGAACTAAGTGGTCTCTGAAGATCTTTTTCAACTCTGAGTCTATTCTCCAGTGTTTCTTGTATTTTTAAACCATAAGGAGTGCTAGGAAATTTCTAACTACTGGTTTCAAAGATTGCTTATGGGCTAGAAATTTTTATTTCTTAAAACGGAGACTTTCTTAATATTTTAATATAATTCACTAATCCTAGAATTACAGAATTTAATAAAGTATGCTCTGTTCTTGAACTATATCTAAATGAGAAAGCCAAAGATTTTCTTTTGAAGTTCTCAAAGCACTTCCCCACCGCTCAGATTGATTTCTATTTCTGGTCTTCAGTTTTTACTCTACTTTCAGGAGAACCTGCTGTCAGGATGAAACCAAATTCTTCCAGTGAATGCAAATCTAAAGAGCTTCCTTCCCTGGTTTTCTGTTACCATAAAAAGAATCTGACAGGATTGTCACCCACATCTTAACCACACCCCTATAATAGGCATGTAACAAATAATTGTGCGAGTCATATTAATAGCAGGGATACAAGATGTCTGCCAGCATTCTCACAGGAAGCTAGTGGTGAAAGAAGAAATAAAAGCCAGGATTTCAGGGCACTCGCTAAGCCTTCTGTGTGGTCTCCCACATTGCTTCTCTTTTGAACTTTACAATTCAAAAGCAAAAATATCATTGCTATAATGCCACCAAGGACGTTGGCATTGCACACCAACAGACATATCCCCTGCTCCTTTCTTTCTTTTATTTTTTTTTTGATACTATCTAAACAACCATTGTCTTAGAGGGCAATGATGAATGTCACGAGGATATAATGAAATAAAACTCATAATAACCCCAAGTTTTGTTCTGAGCCTCTGTTGTCTTTGATAATACATACCGTGGCCATCATCCAGGAATTCTGTGATGGTGGCTGAGGCGCATTTGGACCAGGGCTTCGATGCATCAATGCTGGTTAGGATGGAAGACATCAAGCGCTTATCTTCTGTGGAACCAAAGTTCTCTTCGCAGAATTTGGAATCGTCATGGGAGAGGCCAAGCAGATGTCCTAAGGGAGAGAATACAGGAAGTAGAAATCAGAGTGAGTTCACATTTCTACTTCTCTGTGACAATTATACTAGCACTTGATTTCCCCCTCAATTGTACATGAGTTCATTTTTACTGCCTTCTCACGCAGAGACTGGACCCCCGGGGAAATTAAAGCTGCATGTGGTTAGAAGCACTTAGAGGAAATCTGAAAAATTACACTAAGGAGTGGATGTTCCCATAATCCATCTGGATCACACATGCTCAATGATATGGAGGAAGGCAGTGTTATTTACAGTCAAGAATTTGCAAGGCAACTATGCGATTATGTCATAGCCCTCACTACATATTACTGTGATTATTTGTCTAATTTTCCACCTTCTCTGATCAACCATAATCCCCATGAGATCAGAGACCTTTTCCCCCCATTGACTGTTGAATCCTCTGTACTTTACTCTGTTTTCTGCAAGTTGTAAACACTTAGTAGATGACTTTTATTTTCTTAGGCAAGTAAATAGGTAGATATATAAGAGATGACCAGGGGTGGGGTGAGGAAGAATGAGAAGTGAAATTAGTAACCTTTTGGTTCCATGCAAATGGAAGCCTGTTTCACCCTTTCATTTCCTGTTATTATTTAGTGAGTTGGGAACATTTACTTGTCTCACAAATAAATGGCATACTTTCATTTACATTTAGGAAATGCTTAAAATACCAATGTCCATCATGAAAGGTTAGAGCTTGAAGAGAAAAAAAATATTGGGAGGGTAGGCGTCCCAAACCACTCAGGGTTGGTTTTTGTGCTTATGCCTCTCAACCACGTTCTCCGGGCTCGCAGTCACTGCCACCTTCGTTTTGCGAGGTAGATACTATATCACCGAGTTCATAACCACGTTCTTGTAATTCAGCCAAATTGGCTTTTTTTTATACAAGCTTAATTTTTAAATAGTCTCAGGATAAAACAATATTGTCCAATAAATCTAAAATGCTGTTAAAAATAAATCTGGGACAGTAGAGTAGAAACTCTGAAAAGTGGAAAACAGATATCCTGCTAGCATTTTTGAAAAAGTTTATAAAATCATACATAAACCATTATCCAAAAATATAGAAAATCCTATAGAAAAATGATTACCACGTTTTCTGTGGGTTTCTGAATGCCAAAGGCAAGGACTTGGGTCATTCCACCAAAAAAGTCCAGTGAGCACCACTAAAAACCCAGCAGAGATGAAATCTTTCACACTGCATTCCAACTACTTTTGGCCAACTTGTTAAATCACCAACACCTCATAACAAAGTTGTCCACCAAGCAGCTGGTTGCTGTTGTGGCTGAAATTAAGTGGCTAGGGTTTGGTGACCTTCTGAGGTTTAACATTTTAATGCTGCTTCGGCAGTTACTTACTTCAACAGCATTCACCAGGCCAGCAACTTTTCTCTGGGGAAACCTCCCCTCAGCAGTCACGTTTTTACGTATTTGGTAAGTAGCGTGAAAGTGCATCACAGTCTGCAAAGTGCACCCCAAATAACATGCAAGAGAAGATTAGAAGGGTTCGTCCAGTTTTGGGAGGGCATGTTGAATTTTACAGTGAACCTGCAGTTCACAGAAAAACAGAACCTTTCATTCATGTCCTATTTTAAATGGCTCAAAGTTACTTAGTACCTAAAACACGGGCTGAGAATGCACTCTGTGCTGCTTGAAGGTTTCCAAGGTAGAATCTCTATCAGAGGCATTGGGATTTGTGGGGAAATTTCACACTTGATTTTTTTCCCCTGGCATAGAAGAGAGGGAAAGTGGCCTGAGGTGACCTCTGCAACATGATAGTTATTTGAATCCAGGTTTGATATTTTTAAAAAGTGTAATTTTTGCATTCTATTTTATAGGATAGTCATGTCTACTTAATAGAGTAAGAGCCTTTTTTCCTCCAAATTTATATAAATAAATAGCACTTCCATATGCATTTTTATTATTGCATTAAGGGACTGTCACTTTATTTGGAGGGTAGATTTTTGATTTCTGATTTAAGATGCAGGCCATGTGGCAAATACCAAATTCACTTTGAGGGGCCTGAGAGACTACCTCCATTTTTTTCTTTCATAGAAAGGTAAGGTGTATAATTAAAAGCTCTCAACTATATAAGCAAAGCAATCTATTAAAATAGATTTTGGTATAATTTTATGAATATTTTGGCATGCTGTTTGGCATAACAGTGTGAATTTGGTGTTCCCTAAGTTTACTAATTTATCAATGCAATTTCCTTTCTGCTGAAAATACATATGAGAGGTTCTTCCATGGCCATCAGAGAAGATTGCCATTCTGAGCATGCACAAACCTTAGTTCCACTTCAGCAAGAGCTGAAAGGAGATGTGAATTTTGTAAGGTCTCCAAGAGTCTGTCCGAAGCAGACTGCTTGGGTGTCCATTGAGAGACAGACACTTTGGAGGGCAGATGGATGTTCTGCCCTCCACGAAAAAGCATGTCAGCTGGTTGGGGCGGGCATGCTCTCTCAAGGGCGATGAGAGTCCTAGGCAATCTGAAGAACATTTAAGCACCCCAAGAAACAGGCAGCCGGTTCCACAGTAGCTGGAACCAGGGCACAGTGAGACTGGCCCATGTGACTTCCCTGCAGGAGCTAGACAGGAATGAAAATGGAAGATCAATGTGAGGGATGCTTGGATGCTCTTCAGGAAAGACGTGACACACATACTGAAGGCCGTGAGCAGAAGCGGCAGCGGTAATTTGCAAGTGGGATCTCCCAATCATTATACTAAGACATCTAGTGTCAGGCATGACATCTACCAATATCTTTGAGCCCTAAAATGGCCAGGTACACACAAATGCATGTGCTATTTTTAAAAGGACACTCTCAGTAAAAACAACACACTAGAAAACGAAAAGCTGATTTATAGAGAAAAATCCAGAATCTAGGAAATTTATAATGTGATGTCCCAGCTGCCAATGATATATTTGAGTACCTGTTGTGAGGGGGATCAGAATTTATGATGATGTCACTGACTATCTAGGACATCCCATTTTTCCAGTGAGCATTTGCTCGTGAATCTCTCTCGGAGATATTTAAAATTGCAGATGTGGACGGGAGATTAAGCATTGCTCCGATGAACAGCCTCCAGCAGGCTTAGTGTGGCTGAGAGTCACACATGTGCCCCAGAGAATAAAACAGCACATGAAGAATGTGAAGAAATGTTGGGAAAAATGTTTACAACTCCTATAGTGATTCATTGTTTTCTTCACCAAAAGTGTATTTTTATGATGGGTTTTTAGAACAATGCAGAGCAAAGTTATTTGAGGGGTGGAATCTTGGAGGAGGCTGGGGACGGATTCCAGAAACTCACAGAAAAGCCATTGTTACACTCGCAAAGACACAGGGATATATCTTTCTCATGTCAAAGTATAGGAAAAGAAAGGCAAAGAGGTCTCAAAGCAATTTGGGAGGGTACAAGAAGAGATTAAGGAAGTTTAGCCAAGCTCCCTCAGCAATACAAGAAGTGAAAACTCCTAGTGAGAGACATAAGGCAGATAGGGATTCTGGGTGACAATTCACAGTCAGGGTTTCAAGTAGAGGCCCCGAAGTACTTATTTAAGGAAGAATTAGTGTTTGTATTTGCAACCACTTATAATTAGTAGACATGCAAAAGAATGAAGCACAGTTAGTTTTAACTAAGTTAACCAGTCTTGTTTACATTACTATTCTTAGTGAATATTTCATTCTCAGTTGATGTAATTGGAAATGTTTCATCTAAAATCCAGAGGCAATTAAAGACTAAACACCCTTGTGTAGTGGATGCACTCGTTAATGGCATTTGTATTTACATACTAAATAAGAAAAAAAGTATGAGAGAAGTCAGAGTAAAATTTACAGAATAATGTAACTGTCTGATCCAATATTTTCCCAAGTAATGCAGCCATCACAACTGTGTCTTACTGTTTAAAATCAAGGTATAAATTGTGTTTCTGTAGAAAATACTGATTTATTCTTAATAGATACTAAAGCATGTCATAAATGCAAAAGTCATGCTAATGAGTGCCCATCACCCATAGTAACATCAGGGAGGAGTTTATTTTAATTAGGCTAAGGAAATGAATTTCGTGATACATTATGTCAAAGCAAAGACTACAGGGTAAGAGTCTGAGTTATTTTGTTAGTTCAGATAGCAAATGATTAGTCGCCTTATAATTTTTCTAGCACGATAATTGTTTTTTTTAAATGGGCAAATGAGTGTCATTTTATTAAATAAATTTCATCTCTAATATTCAAAATATAGATTTTAAAAGTCATCTTGTCTCCCTACATTCACAAGTGAATCTGTGTTAGAAAATCTGAGATAATGTTCACCTGGGTGAAGACACATTACTTTAAAGGAAAATGTTAGTTCAGCTTCTTGTTCAACTCAGGTATTACTGTACAACCAGGGCTGACTTACAACATTAACCTTGGGAAGGAAATGGTTGTTTTTCTAAACTTTGGTCTGCAAATTAAACAGAATTTCAAGCTCTTGTCTCCTGACCCCAGACTGACCAATGGACAAGGGGATACAACACCACATCCTAAAAATATGTCACAAGAAGCTCTGTAATGTGTTTACTGAAGGAAGTACTGCTCAGCTGAAGCATCTGTCTCTTAATGAAATCATGTTTTTATTTTACCTAATTTTCCAGCTGGGATTATTGAGGTGCAAGAAGGTCTTGCCAGTGGTTGAAAAGTGAGTCAATAGCTCACACGGGATCAGAATCTAGAATCCTTGAGGAAGAGAGCCAGGAGCGCCAGTAACGCCAGCAACTGGACTGTACGTGTTTACGCAAATGCAAATTCTCACGCAAAACATATTAAAACTCTTAAACTCTCATTTCAAGACATTAAACATAAATGGTAAGTGTTGCATCATTGGAAGGAAGAACACAAGTTTTTTCACTTTATAACTAGCTGTGTCAATATCCTCTTGAATCAAATTCGAGATTGTCTCCTTCAAAATAAACACCAACAAACCGTTAGAAGATAGTATCAAAATCTTGGGCTCTGGGATCAGATAAAATGGGTTTGAATTTTAGCAGTATGCTAGTTGTTGACCTCAGACACATTTAGAAATTTCTCTGTGTGTCAGTTTTCTCCTCTCTTGGGTGACCCATTGAAAGTACTTATCTTGTGACATTTTATGAGGATTCAATGATATGAAAGATTCAAAGTGCTTAGAATATAGGCTTGACAAAAACCCAATGCCCAGGGATTGTTAGCTACTTTGTTGTTCTTACTGATATACTTGGACTCTATGCTTTTCCTTATGAGTATTCCAGTTATGCAGTACTTTTGATGTATTTTGACAGAACTAAATACTCTTGATTTGGGAGGGAAGGGGACATTTCTAATCAATCTAAGAAGAGAAAAATCACACATTAAGTGTGTGATATATTTACTTTTTCAGCGGCCTTCACTTAGCCCACTCCATTCTGCCTCTAAAACCATGGATTGTGTGGTTGAATTTCCACACGTGGCAGAAAATCTATAGGCCTCCTCTACAGAAATAGGAATTGGAATTTGATTTTTAAAAAATTGACACTAAACACTAAATCTCTCAATGCTGCTGGACATAGAGCAAAGACCTAGTCCCACCTTTCATCTCGGGGCCAAGAAAGACACGGTGTGGCACCGCTCCACACTGGGTAGAAAACATGTTCAGTTGGTGCTGATTAAAGCTATGGGTTTGAGGGTAAATACCAAGTTTAATCCGAGCTTCCTTTCCCTTCACTTCTCACAGCCAGTCCTGACATCTGATTCTGTGCACTTGGCTTTGGTCTCTGGTGTTTTGAGGGCCTCTGCAGCTTTTCAAAACACGGGCTTGTTTAATCTAATCATCCGTGGGAGCACAGTCACATGCAGATCAACACAACCAGAGAATTCTCTCTAACCACAGCAAAACCCAGGCAGCCATGCTGCTGTGTCTTAACCACTTCCTAAGTCTCCAGCTGAATATTTGACTTCAGGTTTTTCAGTTGCCTGCTTTTAGCTTAGGCAGCACTTTGGAATCTTTCATGGTGAAGAGATTCACTTAGCACATTTTATAATTAACGACCATAAAGCAAAGCTTCGGCAAGTTTGCAAATCATGGATTTCATCAGTCTAAATAAAATCAGATTGTTCCTCGCGCTGTATTAGAAGCTGGCCCAACATCAATAAAATTATTATTTTGAAGAACCATGTGTGCAGCAGGTGAAATCTTTATTATTACAAGCCAATAATAAAAGTTTGACAAGTTAAAAATATAAACTCAAAATATAAGCTTACATTCACTTGAAACTTTCTATAGTTCACATTTGGATTGTAAAATGGCTGTAACCACATTCTTGCCTCCACTCAAGGAACAGGGAAGGGGACTGTGTTCCGGAGAGTTTAAAGCCACTTTCACAAATGTCCTAACAATTTAGTCGATGTTTACATGGGCATAACAAAGAACAGAGGAAGGCAACATTTACCGTCTATGGAGAGTCTAAGGTCATTATAATCTATTTTCCAGAAGCCTGGATTGGCACCAGTTGAGCTTGTACCTCAAAAATCTAGCTCTTTCTTAGAAAGAATTAGCCAGAAAAGAGAAGCATTCCACTTAACATGCGGGACATGAAAAGAGTCACTTTCCGAATTGTTCACTTAGTCCACTCCATTCTGCCTCTAACACCATGGACTAAAAAGGAGCCAAAAGGGACTTCAGGCTGGCCTCTCTTTACCTTACATATTATTTCTCAACACACACATTTTTTAGATGGAGGAGGTAGAAGAACAAAAATTTTGGTTCAAGTACAGTGACTTTGTGTTTTAAACCACTACATATACAAAAAGAGGATGCAGTGGGGTACACTATGAAAATGTTTAAGTCGGTTAATGAAAGTGTTATTCTTAACCAAATGTATCCTTTACAGATTCTAGAAGAATTAAAGGAGAAAAAGGATGGAAACAGCCTGGAAATTTTCTCCACTGCTTATGTTTTGAGCATAGTAACATATTGACAGTCTCTGTGCATGAAGCAAATAGCACGTTTTGAGATGAGCTCAAGTTAATTCAAAACACTCCAGCAAAACCAAGGTTTCGCAAGATCTCTTTCATCACCATATGTAGCCGGTATCTTTAACTTCCAAATCTGGAAAGTAGTTTATGTCTAGTAAAGGGGAAGGGAGGAAATTACATGAGATGGATGGAGTAGAATTAGAATCCAGAGCGTGGATAGCTTGTTGCAAGACTTCATGCAACAACCTAAAAATAAAGCCCTGGAAACGGACCAGGGAATGATATTACCCAAGAACACACTGGGTGCAAAGCAAGACTATAATCACATACAGATGATTAGGACATATTTTGTAAAGTTATCTTCTCTAAATTTTATAAGGCTCGTACTTTATAACACGTGTTCACAATTTTTTGGCAAAAAGTGAAATTAAAGAATAATAAAACAATTAGAAAAATGAATGAAAGCCAGATCCCCTTATGGGCCATATATAATGCAAAAAGGGAAACTAAGTAGGCAGAGTTCGATGGGAGAATGAATGAATTCTAGAGAATTCTAAAGAAGTAAATAGAGGTGATTTGACCAAGAGATTAAAGGGGACGCACGGGTGCAGTCATATATCGAAGATTCAGGTTTGATTTTTTTCATATGGAAGCCCCCATTTCTCCTACATTGTTGTCGCGTAAAACTATGTCCAACATTCTCGTAGTATTAAGAAAAGTTTGTATTGTACGTATTTGGTTTTAAGAAAACATTTGTTCTCATCAATACCTGGCTTCTTGCCTCTCAGACTGCTGCATCTGACCGTGGGACCCAAGGCCTTAGGTGTAGGAATTCAAGAGAGCGGGGAAGGCTGACGCTAGTAGCTCTTCACTCCAGTGCAATTGGCTTGAGAGTCAATGCAGCCCCAGAGAAGATGCCTTTCTGCCACGAGCTCTCTTACGGGGAAGATTCCCAGATGCTGTCAATGTGTGAAAAGGCATCGCTGCTGCACTGAAGGGAGAAATAGCCCTTCCTTCAGGGGATCCCTTCTTTGGAAGATCAGAATTTGGCTCATAAGCTGAAGGAAGGGTGATGCCATAGCTGAACTCTATTCCTGGCTCCTCACCATCCCCCCACCCAGTCTGAGGAGAACCAGCCTCTGCCTTCCCAGAGATTTAGAATTTTTCTTAAGGGACTTCACTCACTCTAAATAGTAGTGATTAATGACTGATGTACTTTTAAAATCTCCTCTGTTCAATTATAATCCTCTTGAGTATTTGGGCTAATCTCTCGTAGGTTCTGATGCAGAACTGGACGGTTGCCAATTCGTGGGCAGCTCTCACATGTCCCCTGTTCACTCACTCCTGAACACACGCAGACATGGGATGAAGAGCGAGTAACGGTCTGTATGAGGCTGTAGTTTCAATCAGTTACTTTCATAGGCAGGAATGAGAGAAAGGTGAGGACATCATCTCACCCCTGAAGCTCACATGGCAGATGGGCGTTAAAAATGCTTTCTGCTCTTTCAGCCCCGGACATCAGAGAGCCACAGCCTCATTATCAGTCACCCCACAGGGAAGAAGGGGTTCTCAGAGTGTCTACACCCCTGGCCTGACACAAAACACAGGACACAGAGACAGAGCTGGCCCTTCACTTAAGATACTTGGCTCCTTAAGCTAAAGATGCTCAATTCATCTGCATGGCTATTTATGGAATAAACACCTCATTTTGCTTAGATGATAAGAAGAGTGTCAGTTGAGAAAATTAAAGTCATGATTGAGGCATAAGAATTGAAATTTAACTACTGATCTCTATTTTACTGCTGCAATACACTGACACACAATTACGCCTTTGATTTGAAATTATTTTAACTCCCCAAAGAATACATAGGGGCTAGGAATTGACACCTTGTGGAATATACTCTGCCTACTAGAAATGTGAAAAAAAGTTTTAATTTGTATTTTAAAATTATGGTTTTAGCTTAAAAAACTAATCTCTTTAATAAAATACAGCAAAATTACAATAATGATCAAACCATACTTTGCCCTTCCAAAAGATAATGCTAAAAGGTGAGACATACATTAAAAAAATGTAAATGAACTATTTAACTAAAAAGCAAAGCAGATGTCTATGTGGCTATCAGTGACAGATGATATCTATAATCTACCCAATTTTGTCCTGAAAATAACTCCATGAAATAGGCACTGTTATTTGTATGTTTCAGATATAAAAACTGAAGCTAGGAGAGTTTAAATAATAAGATACAGGTAGAGAGTACATTAGAATGGAGCCCAGATATGTCTAAGTCTAACATCTACTCCTGATCCTAAACTGACCTCTCATATACCTAGAAGTCTGCGTCAGTGATGAGAAAACACATATTCCTAATTTCTGGAATATTTTTCAACAATTAACTCAGTCCCAAACTTCTGGTTTTAGGATGTAAACGTGTTTCTTATGACAAACAAATCAATTAAATGACATTTTAAAACAAACCAAGTTGGCTCTTGAGCTTGGATTCATTTGCTTTGCTATTTAAAATGAGACAGGTGTTAATTACCTTTGACAGGACCAGGCTATTATCACTCACAATGGAAGAAAACGTGATAGATTTGTGTGCAGACTGCTTAGCCCTGGATGAGCCAATAGAGCTTTGAGTAACTTCTAAGAGGAACATCTCTGCATTCTGTAGTCCACTGTGACAAATTTCTTCTAAGAGTCATTTCAGGATGCTTAAAAGACAGTAGCAGTAGCAAATTTCTCGTAGGCTTTTAAATGACACTGTCAGACAGGAAACATCTACTGTGTGCCTGGCGTTGCCTTTCCCTCTCCCCTATTAGTTAACCCTAAAAGTGCAAATATAAACACATTGAATCCCCAAGGGTACATCTGAGCCAGGAGAAATCTGGAATTAATTGCCAAGTATTTCGGTTCCTGTTGCAGCTGTTATGAGTGTTTGATTTGGCGAGGGAAGAGAAAAGGCACTGCATACCAATTTCGTGAGCCACAGTGAAAGCTGCGTGGAGGCCATCGTCTTCAATCACTGCACAGCTGCGCTCCGGGGAGCATATGGTCCCAACGTCTGCCATTCCCAGGGTGTCGCATGAATGATGCCCACATAAATCCTTCCCAGGAGAAAGAAAGAAATCATTAAAATCAATTTACATCCAGAAGGAGCCACCTTGGAGAACCGCTTGCTCACTGCAAGAGGCAGCACTGGGGTATGTTTATGGCATCACCTGTTCAGCTCAGGAAATGTTCCAAAGATAAACTAATGGCACTGACTTTTCTAAGCGTCTCTGAGCACCAGAAGCACAGGACAGGAGGACTCAGTTACATTTAAAAAGATGTCGGAGGATGGTAGCTTGTCTATTATACTAACAGCCAGAGCCTTAATAAAGGTGTACCCCATGTATGCAGACACATATGTCATAGGTCGCTTTCACACACGGTCATGCTCAGGAAAGCCTTAACATTCTCACCTCAATTCATGCTAATACTACCAGAAGCCTGGCCTAAAAATTTATTTTCCATCGCAGGTGCAAAGTGCGACCACATCTTTGTGGCAGAACATAAATTCAGCAGAAATTTGAGTAGGAAACTAAATTCTAATCCAAAGTATAATACCTTGAAAGATCTTCTCTTAATTTCAAAATTGTGCTGTAGTTTCACAAGTTGTGTCTTCAGAAAAGTGTGCACTCTTATTCATAATATTTAATGTAGTATTTCTCAAGCTGATCAATCCTCAGGAAAATACATGTCATACATTGTGTTTACACAAGTGAGTGTATGCATTTTTCTGGTGAGAGGTTATATTTTAAGAGATTCTCCAAGGGGAACATGATTATAGCCCTACTAATGGTTAACAAGTTACAGATTCAGATGAAAGAGACATCAACAAGACAAATTAAAATTTAGAAGCATAAAGAGAAAATGTAAGCCAAAATTTTCCACATGATAGATATATCATGATAAACTTCCCCATAAATGCTATTTGAATATTAATGAACATTAGAATTTCTTGAGCTTAACTGCTGTGTTCAATAAAAATTAATTGACAGTGTGTACATTTATATCCAAAAAAAGCAAGATAGTATCCTAGTAAGTCATAGGTAAATAACTGTAGAACAATAGTATTAATTACTGTGAAAGGTGACAATTGACTGGTTTAAATAATGTGCTGTTTCTATTGCAGCTAGCATCTTTGGATGCCCACTACTACAACGCCTGGCTCATGATACAAACTCAACAAACATTTGTGTAATTGCAGTGAAATGATGCATGGTCTGATACAATGAAGACCTCACACATTTTAACATGCTGCATGCTAGAAGACCACAGTGGCCTTCAAGAAGCCAGCAAGAGATGTTATTACTACATAACTAATGCCACCTACCCATTGTCAACATCCTCTTCTAACTCTTCTCTATTTTGGTACATAAAAATCCAACCAAGGTGAAACATATTTAAAAGATATCCTATGATCTCTCTAGTTAGTACATTTCAGGTCCTTATTGCGCCCCGTGTATTGTGAGATCCCAGCTGTGATGAATTATACTGTGGCTGCCACCGTATTATAGTTTCAGACAGTGGGAATCTCGGCCAAGTAGCCTTGGCGAATCAAGTCACCAAACCAACAACAGACTACCAAAGTTTCCTGTGTATCCTTACATGTCATCCCGTGGGATCTCAAATTACAGCTGTTGAGAACAAATTAGTAGTTTTTAAAATTGAAATTGGAACACACTTTTGCATAATAATCAGTCTTTGAGATAATAATATAGCACAATACATTTTTTAATCCATTCCTCCCCCAATCAGTTTAGTAACTTTAAGACCAAAGACCCAGGTCATGGTTTAAGTGAATTGCTAGACACTGTAAGTTATTTCTGCACACACATACTTCTTTAAACCAAGATTTATGTTTATCTTCACAATTTGGGGTTCACTATTTTCAAATAGAATAATAAAATCCAAGAATCCTTTCCCCTTCTCACTCCTACTTTGTTAATAAGCTTGAGGAGCCACAGCAAATGCAAATGGCCCTCCTGTTCTGAACAAAGTTTAAACTGGGCTTCTTAATATGTCATCAATTGCTCATGAGCAGCCATCAGTCCTCCTTGTCACCCTTGAATTGCATTAAATGCATTTTGCCCTTTGCCATGGAGACATGTGTGCATGTGACAAAATTATGAACAGAAGCAGCTATTTTTTTAAAAAAACACACGGATTAAACCCCTTGACTACATAGCCACACTTTCTATATTTCTGTAACTATAATTATGTAAACTGGCAAACTTTCCATTTAATTCACACAGTCTCAAACCTTGGAAGCCTGGTTATGGGCAAGATTACAATAAATGCCTATATTTCTTTGTGATCCAATGTTCATTCCAATGTATTAAAATTCTATCAAAATTCAACTTGGGCATCAAATTATTAAGAATATGGCACGTTACATTTGTGACTTGGTGGTGATTTATAACAATATTTACAGGTGAGAAACTTATCTGAAATTTATAGGAATTTTTATTATTATTCACAGTAATAATAAAATAATAATAATAATAATACTATTGGGGCAATAGCATCTATCTATCTATCATCTGTCTATCAATTTCTGTATCTGGGGGCGGTGGGTACTGAAGAAATGTGTCACATGCAGTTAACACATAAGAAGTAAATTCATTAAAAGTGTTGACAAGAAGTTTTTTGCTTGGTTAGTGTAGATCTGAAGGTAAGTTATACCTTTGTTTTGTTAAAGATGGCTCTTTTCAGCAGGATCAATATCTTAACACTGTGGTGTAGACAGTAATGCAATGAGAGATTCAGTGAAAAGTGAGGTTTGCAAGAGTATAGAGAGATTTAACCAGTGGGCTTCTGCTGTGGTATTGGCCCGGAGACAAGACTGGGATATTGCAGGTAATTCAAAAACAGAGCCGAGATGGTCAGCAAGACCAATGAAGACTGGACAAGGGGGTCATGGGCATGGTGACCATTCACCAGGTTTGGCCATTATGAATGTGGCAATATCTGTGATTTATCATAGAATTTAGAAGAACTAATCCTACCCCAGACCTATTCTTGCAGTTGAAGTTGAGGGCCAGCAAAGTATACTACCTTGAGAAGCAGGTGCCGTGAAGATAGTACAACTTGGGAGTGGTCAACACTGGGTGGGAAATGTGAACTGAGCTGATGTGAATGTGCAAACAATAACAGGAGCTGCATGATTTCTAGCCCTGCCCAGGAGACTGGTATCTCCTGCACCATAAACGTGTTAAGGAAAGGAGCTAAAAGAAAACACATGCTGATCAGAGCAGATATCATCACAACTGCAGTAATGGCAGCCAAGATTAAGGAAGAATACCTTGTACTGGAGAATGTAGAGTTAAATAACAGCAACTGTATAATATATACTGTTTCAGTACATATCACCACCTGGTAAGGGCATGTGTGGAGCTCAAGGGAAGAGTATAGAAGAGAGTTTAACTAGCCTCGGATGTCTATCTACCTGTCTACCGATTCCTATGAAGGGGGATTAGTGATAGAAGAATTAGTCTGATGTGGAACATATATTAGTCATAGAATTATACAAACATACATTTACACACCACAATCCTCAGTCCTTGTGGATCCAATTCTTGAAGCATCATTTGGCTTTCTGGCTACCCCAAAAATAAAAGCCTTGATGTGGATTTCAGTAGAGACTGCATTTATTGGGTCTGTTAGTCCAATCATTGTAATAACCCATGTTATATGATCTCTATCCATGCTTCTGGATACAACCAAGTCATATTTACACACAGAGAGCATGGCTGGATTAGGGGCCAAAGATCCAAGTGCATTTATTCCTCAAACAATTATGGTGTGCCCACAATCTGCCAGACAGTGTATTAAGTGCTGACACTGTGGTACACAAATAAAATAAAAGCTGATCCTGACTTGTAAGAAACATGAGGATTAGTGAGCAAAACAGATATGCTATGAGAGGAGCAGATTGTGACATGCTCTTATGAACAGATTGTTGAGGGAATGCAGAAGAGGAATTGACGAGCTCTTTGGGGGAATCAATAAAGGTGTCTGGACTGAGGTAATTGGATCTTGAGGGAGGAACAGAAGTCTGACAGTCTCAGAGGAAGGGTACTCTAACAAGGGAAGATTGGTGAATCCATCAGGATATGGTAAATGGCAGGGCCTACTTTGGAAGTGGCAAGAAGTTTTTGGGGCTAGAGTATACAGGGTTTGTTAGGTGCAGGGCAATCAGGGGAAGCTAGAACAGTAGTCTGGGCCCAGAGTTCTCAGACAGGAAATTTTCTCTGCTAAATGTGCAGTTAGAAGAAGGGGAAGAACGGATGGGAAAGGTGGAGTTTGAGGGGAGTAGAAGCTTGAAGAATCACTTTGGAGAACGGGAATGAAAGCTAACTAGAGATAACAAATGGAAGGTCAATTGCTTTTTAATTCTAACTCTATTAGGAAGTATTGTTACATAAGTCTTTTATACGCTTTGGGACAAAGTTCCTTAATCATTAACATAATAAATTTGGACCAGGCGATCTCTACAACTTTCTAGCTACACATGTGTTGGTATTAAATGAAAACACTCCAATTTATAGATGGAGAAATTAAAGTTCAGGGACAATAAGTGTTAAAAGTGAGAAGCCTGAGACCAGTGTAGCTGGGAGTCAAACCTATGTGTAAACACTCTAATTCCTGAACCTACTTCACTATGGTACTATTAGATGATTGCATATGTCATTCTTGACAGTACTCTTATCTTTCACTTTCATTAATTGTGCTCGGTCAAGCAAATTTCTTTTTTTGTATAAAAAAATACAGCATAGTCTTTATCTCTATGGTGTGTTTGGTAAAACTCAATAACTCAGAGGTATATAAAATATACAAAATGCACTGAGAAAGATGTTCCAGAAAACAAGAATATGGAAGTGGTGGATAAGAAAGCTGGTGACATCATTATGTTGCCTCTCTGTCTCTCACCTGGCACATCTGATAGGTAACTGTACGTCACTGACTCCATCTACAAGAAGTCTACTATAGCTGTCCTCTCTTTCTCATTGATTCCATTATTTCTTCCTGATTAGACTATCACCCAAAGGTGGTCTAAGAC